CTCTCCATGCACGCTGACACTCGTAGGAAGAGCCGTGACACCGTTTTTCCACTACACACACGTGCACACGCACATACACACCCCTCTGTTGTCAGTGTGTGGGGCAGCATTCAGCACCATGGAGAGCGCTTTAGTCACACTTCGGATGATTTCTTTTTAACTTTATCTAGAGGTTATAAAATGCAATGGTTCCAAACTCTGGTCCTTGAGGAACACCATACTGCATGTTTTAGTTGTTTCCCTGCTTTGACACATCGGATTTAAATGAAGGGGTGATTCACAGGCTTCTGCAGAACACGAGGAAGTAATTAGATCACTGAATTAGGTACAGTGAGTTGGAGCAAGAAAACAACTAAAACATGCAGGAAGGTGTTCCTCAAGGACCTGAGTTGGGACCACTGAATAGTGATCAACAACTGGTGGTGCCTGGGCCTTAACCAGGCCGTGGGCAGAGGGGGTTAGAGGGCAGATTGTGGCCCCCATCCCCTCGCACACTAACGCTGAACAATACGATCAGTGTGGGAAGCTAATAAAATGTTTTACCGCATTTCTTTGTTTTAAAAGCTGCCCTCAAATCAGCTAAACAGAGGAATGCTAAACGCTAAAGAAGCTAAGACTGGGTTGTTGAAGCTAAAGAAAGCACACTAGGTAAAAGTAGCAAAAGGCATGCTAGAACTAGCTAATGTAATTAAAACCTAGCCAAAAGCTAAAAGTAGCAAATAATGAACTAAAAGCTGAATGAAGCAAAAGGCTAGCTAAAAGCTAAAACTAGCTGAATGTAGCTAAATCAGCAAAATATTAGCTAAAAGTAGCATAAGAAGGCAAAAATATTTTGCTGAAGCAGAGTTCAAAGAGAAGAATGATTTGAAGGGGTATTTAGGATTTCTGTTAGCAAAATATTTCTAAGTGTTTTCTAACGTATAAAAGTAAAAAAAATAGCCGAAGCACCCATTTCCTGAACGAGCTGAATGTTTGGACGTAGCTAAAGTACAACACAGTGTCCAGAAGTGGAGGATGACCAAACTGGTTTCAGTGAAGGCCAGTCCATAATGTTGTGGGCCGTCTGTTAGCAAAATATCTCACTGACCACTGCACAGTGAACTTTAACATTCCTCCAAGGTACCCACTTTTCAACGAGCCTCTTCTAAATTGAGATTAAATAATCTGACTCGTGTTGGGCATAACTCTCAGCTACTACCACAGACTTTAGCTCATAATCTGGAAGCCTAGCTGCGGCGGCCATTTTGACTCTGATTGGCTCCAAAAGTTAACCCGTTACAGAAGCGCACTCACTCGTTACTTATCATGAGGGTCACTACAATTTGCCCCCTGGTTCACCAGATATTTTGCTAACAGACTGACGAGAGTGGCCTCCAAAGGTTTGTGCTGTAGCACTCGGAGTAGTGTTGAGGGTGACTCTCAGCTACTACCACTCGTGCTTCAGCTCCATACATATAAACTGACTCAGCTGCACGGATTTCAGCTCAGCTGGCTGTGGTGGCCATCTTGAATCTGGTTGGCTATCACTTGATTACTTTCTGTTTCATTAAATTCCGTGCACTGGCTCTTCAGATATTTTGCTAACAGACACGCATGTTAAACACTATCGCCCGCCGTTTAATGTTCGGATGACGTCCGAATCGGGTGGAGTCCTGAGTTAGGTCCAGGTGGGACTCCTCACCTCCACACCTGGCCCAGCTGCAGGACGTGGATGGCGGCCTGCCACAGCCAGATGGAGACCAGCTGCAGGCGGTCCTTCCCGGGGTACAGGCACCCCAGGACCACCGTGCCCCGCTTCGTCAGCCCCTCCACCTCCCCGAGCCCCCCGCCGGTGTAGTCCTGCACGAACCAGCGGAAGCTCAGGATCTGGACCAGCACCGAGGGCACGAGCACGAAGAAGAGCGTGAGGCCGAACCACAGGTAGTCCCGCCTCTGGTAGTAGTCCGCCGCCAGGCACAGGTCGGTGCCCACGTCCCAGAAGAAGACCAGCAGGGCCAGCACGATCCACAGGCAGTCCAGCCACAGCTGCTCGCGGGGCGGGCAGTGGGTCTCGCGCACGCCGGCCCCCCCGATGGGCTGGCCCCCGCCGAGCAGCGAGCCCAGGCAGGCGGAGCGGCAGCCCCAGTAGCAGGCGGAGGTGCGGCAGCACTGGCAGATGTGGATGGCGGCGGAGTCCAGCGGTTCCTCCGCGTCCACGTCGTACAGCTGCGCGAAGCCCACCCCGCCGTCCGACTGCGCGGCCATCTTCCCCTTCCCGCCCCTCCTGCCCTCCTGCGAAACGCACGACAACCGCACCGTGGTGCTCGCTGGCGGGGCGCGGACACCACGTCACTTCCCAGATTCCCGCGCTGTCCGTCTCGCGCCGCGGCGGCTGCAGCTGTGTCTCTTTCCCGCCGGGCGCGCGAGGAGCCATCAGAGCCGGCGGCCGCGCGACGGCGGCTCCCTTTCTTCTTCTTCTTCTCCTCCTCGAGACCCCGCCCGCGGGCGCTCGCGTGCGGCAGCGGCGGCGGGTCCTTCAAGTCCAGCGGCGCCGCGTCATCCCGACCTGCGCGCGCGGTCATCCGGGACGATGGGAGGCTATGACGTAATGCACCGCCCGCTGCTCTAAAGACGTGAGCGTGCGCGGGTGTGTGCGTGCCGGGCTGCCCCCCCCAATGAGTGGAGCAGAGAGTTCCGGCCTCCTCCTCACCTCCACCTCTGCGGGATAGAGCGGCTTTAACGCAAGGCACGCACATGTGCGTGCACGCACAACAAACAAACAAAGAAAGTGGCGGTGATCATGTTTTAGCTTCAGTCACTCAGATGAGATGGAGCTGCATATCGCCCTCATTTAAGGTGACCAGACTTCTGCAGGTAAACCTGATCACTTCCGGCTCCGAGACAAGAAATAATTATTATAACAAAATAAATAATAATTAATAATAAAATAAAAATAATTAATTTCTGTCTTGA